GAATTATTGGTTTTATTTTATTATCATTTACTATACAAGTAAAAATAAATTTAAAATTTATCTTATAATATCATTTAATTTAAAAATCTATTTTACAACTATAACAAAAAATAATACATTGCGTAATTTATAATGGAAATAAATTAATAAATAAATTATAAGGTTTGATTATCATTGTAAGTATAATTATTAATTACAGTATTATAATCAATGTGATTCAAAAAACAATGGTACGACTTTCACAAATAAATAAATCTAATGTATAATAATTAGTGTTGATAGAAATATAGAATTTAGTAACATAAATTTGCAAACATATTTTAATAAAATTAGAAAATAAATGAAGAAATTCACATTTGCAGTGTAGGATAATTGATAAAGCAACTTGAAATAACTTCTAAAATGGTATGAGCTAGTGTTATTGTTCTCTTAAAATATCTCATAAACTATTATTTTTTTAATGTTCAATAAACCAGTATTAGTATTATTTTTTGATTTTTTTAATATCATATGAGCTAGTACTATATTTTTTAATCCCAATTAGCTAATAGCCTAATAGTATTACTCTTTTTTTTTTTGGATAAGTAAATTTTAATTTTTTTGGTGAAGGATAGTGGTGGTGGACCCTATCAAACCAATTATTATTTTTCTCATTTTTTTTCTTAATTTTTTTTTTTCAAAAAATCACTATAAATATCTAAAAATATTGGTATGTTAGTTTCTAAAAGAAATTAGGAGTAATGCATTATTTACTTTCATTATTGTGAAAAAATAGATGCATATTGAGATGTTGTTTTCATGTCTGGATGTCACTATAATTATTAATTGTACTATAGTATTATAATATTATATCAAAAAAATTTAAAAATATTAGAAAACACTTCCATATTATGAGATTAAAAAAATTAATTTCCCACAGAAATTAGTATCACATCAAAGTATCAAACATTTATTAATTCATTTTACTCATCGAAAATTATTACAACCTAACTAACTTTAATAATATATATTGAAATTAAAGTTGCTGGTGTATAACTTTATATTTTATAATTACTTTATTATACAAATAAAAATACAAAATGTCTTATAATATCTTCTAATTTAAAATTCTTATTTACAATTATAAGAAAAATAATATATTTCGAAATTTATAATATAAATAAAATACAAGATTTGATTATTAATAAATTAAAGAAAAATCATATTTGCAATGTGGGATAATTGATAAAGCAACTTGATATAAATTCTAATGTGGTATGAGTTAGTGTTATTTTTCTCTCTTAAAATATATTCTAAAGTAATATTTTTTTAATGTTCAATAGACTACAATTAGTATTATTATTATTATTATTATTATTATTTTTAATATCCTATGAGTTAGTACTAATTTTTTAATCCCAATTAACTAATTAATTAATTATTAATCATATAATGAAATGATCCCATGAGATAATAGCCTAATAGAGTTTTTATGTTTTTTTAGGTAAGTAAATTTAGTTGTTTTTGGTGAAAGATAGAGGTGGTGGGCATCCAATTATTATTTTTTTAATTTTTTTTATTTTTTCATCGTATAATTTAATTGCGACCCTAGGGCGTATACCCTTCTTATTCACGATGGGCATACACCACCGTGCGTAAGCAAAAGTGTATTAGAAAGTTGTTCCACATTCGAAGCGTTGTGGGAAGAACATGTCCTATAAAACAATCAAACCATCCCACACTATTCGATGTCGTTGCATCGCTGTGTTGGTGGGTTTTCATCTTGTGATGTAAGAAGTTTGTAAAAGTGGTTTTCATCTTCTGATGTAAGAAGTTGAGTGTAAAAGTGGTATTGTGCACGTTGACATAAGTGGTTTGGGGGCTTTAATTCATGGGCCAATAGGAAATTTTTAATAGAAAAACGTTAATAAGTAAGATCCGGGCTGTGACGTCGATACCTGATCTGGATCGGATTGTTTAATTAATGGACCAACAGAAAATTTTTAATAGAAAAACGTTAATAAGTCAGATCCGGGCTGTGACATCGATACCCGATCTAGATTGGATTGTTTAATTCATGGACCAACAGAAAATTTTTAATAGAAAAACGTTAATAAGTCAGATCCGGGCTGTGACATCAATACCCGATCTAGATCGGGTCGTCGATTTTTAAAACACTTATCCAAAGTAAGGGTAAATTGAAAAATAAGAGATCATAAGTGTACAATCTGACTTACAGGATGCTTCTTTTGAATTCCAATATTCATAAGGGTTTTATGTCCATTTCTCAAAATAAGCTCTTTTTGGGAGTTCTTTTGTTTGGGCCAAACATATTGAGCACCAAAGTTGGGGTAAACTGAATGCCCTTGGGGTCCCCAAAATGAGAGAGAGAAGACATTATCCCTAAAGGTGGCAACAGGGCGGGCCAACCTTGGTCCTGACCCAGTCCTTGCACTCATAGGGTTGGTCTAGGCCCAGCCTTGGCCTTGTTAGGGCAGGGCGGGGGCAAAAACAAATGAAAAAAAAAAAAAAAGATGGCCTGGTCGAAACTAGCCAGCACTGGTTTGACCCTAACCCGTTCGCGGCCCCTACCCTATATTTTTAGAGCTAGGCTGGGCTGTCCAGCCCGTTGCCACCTGCAGTTATCCCAATCCACTCACAGACGAGCCCAATGGTTATCCCTTGAAGAAAAATGTAAGGTATTGTTTACACAAGGTGACAACTTTAAACAATCAAAGTAAGAAGCACTACTAAACCCCTACCTTAAGATGCAGTTCTGATGGTTGAAAATCCTTACATGAAATCCATTTCCACCATGATTATAAAATTTAAACTTCCAAA